TGTTACGCGCTCTTTATTAGATGGTCTATCTAACAATTAGTGACGCAACAGGGGTTAAGGGCATAGACTGAATAATTTACTTAAAGAGGGGTTCTCTAAAGGTTCTAAAGGTCTCCTGTGGTAGTCTTTACGAAGACTACTTGTCACAGCAAAAAGGGGAATAACTAAAACAAAGGTAGGATTTATTGGTACGACCTACAAATATTCAAATCAAAATAAAGTACTTTAACAAATCAAGATTGGACTTATTGATGCGGCCAACAAAAATATAATCAATTTCAAATCAAATACGGCTTATTTAGAGTGGAGGAGCATCCACTACTTGTGTGCAAGATTTGAAGTTGAGATCAATAACAACTAATTACAAGTAAAGTGTATTCACAAGTAAGAACTTTGCTATATTATTTGATTCAAGCATATTTTATTTTGTTGAAGAGAAGCTCTTCTTATATACATGTTTCTTGGCTACACTAATTACATGATTTTTTGTTACATCAATGTTTATCTAATATTAATTATCACTATAATAATTATTACTATGATCATTATTACTATGACAAATGTGATAAAGTGTTAATTATCATCCAAGAAACATTAAACAATATTAAATAATAAGCTAATTGTACTATGTTAATTAAATGTTAATTATTATACGATAATTATTATATGTTAAATAATAAGTGTGACTAATATATATATTTATAGAAAAGATATTTATAATAAAGTTAAAAATAGAATTTAAATAGAAATTATGGAATTAGAGAATTTAATATTACTTCGGTAACATTATTTTCCCCTAAAAAAGGCTGAGCTCCTGCGAGAGCTAAATTTGATCAAGAATTCTAATTAATTCTTCTTCTTTCAATCTTCCAATTGATGATGGTGTTAAATTAATAAAGTGATATAGACGATCTATTCCTTTCTTATCAAAAAGTTTTCTGATTCTTCCAGCTACTTTTAAATGGAAATTAATAGTTCTAGTTCCACATGCTGTTTCTAAATTATATTTAAGTGCTCTCAATTGTCGAATATTAAATCGGTCTGTCAATTCTCGGGTAATCGTAGCAGTAAACTCGGTTCCATTGTCGCTTTGAAGTTCCTTAGGGCATCCATGGCGGCATATAATCTCTTCGAAGATGAACCTTGCAATGGTTGTGGCCTCTTTGTTCGGGATGGCTCTCGCTTCTGGCCATCGAGTTAAGGCATCAATTGCCACTACAATGTATCGATTCCCAGTAGTTGTTGGCTCGCAAGGTCCGATGAGATCAATAATTATTTTCTCGAACGGCTGTCCGATTTTGACCGGATGTAGGGGCTGTTTGTTGATTCGCGTTCCTGTCCGCTGGCAAGTCGAGCAGGATTTTACGAAATCCTTTATCGTGGTTCCCATTCCTTGCCACCAATACTTTGCGGCAATCCGTTGGTACGTTCCTTCATATCCAAAGTGTCCTGTTAGTTGGTCGCCATGCATATAAGTCATCATTTCTTCTGTCTCGTTTATTCGGAGTACTCTCAAATGGTGCGTCGGTTCGCGTAGGCGGTTAATTTTGTATAATGCGTTGTTTATTATTACGAAGTGTTTCGCTTGTTGTTTCAGTTGTCTTTCTTGCTTTTCATCGAATCCTACGGGATTCATTCCGTCTCTTAGGTAATTAATTAGATTTTGATATTGTCCCAATTCCATCTTTTATTCTTTTATTCCTCTTATTTGTTAGAACAATAGTTATTGCTGATTCAGACGGGAGAGCGTGTCGGCGTTTTGATTAGTTTTGCCGGCTCGATAGGTGACGGTGAATGTGTATTCCATCATACTCATGACCCATCGGGCGACTCGAGGTCCCGGATTGCGTTGGTTATGGAAAAGCCATCGCAATGCATTATGATCGGTGACAATTTCGAACATGGTTCCAAGTAAGTAATGTCGGTATTGGCGTACGGCCCATACTATGGCTAATGCCTCTTTTTCGGTAGTACTATAATTTTTCTCGGCCGGTTTAAGTGAAACACTCGAGTATGCTACTACTCGATCTCGACCTTCGTTGTCTTTTTGTGATAATACGGCTCCAAGTCCATCGTCGGAGGCGTCGGTGTAAAGATAGAATTTCTTAGTGAACTCCGGGTAGATCAAAATAGGGGCAGTGATAAGTAATCGTTTTAATTGTTGAAACGCTTTTTCCTGTGGTTCGGACCAATAGTAAGTAACGTTGTTTTTTAATAGTCTGTTAAGGGGTGCGGCTATCTGCGAAAAACCCTTGATGAATTTACGATAATATCCGGCTAATCCTAGGAAGGATCGGAGTTGCTTTACAGTACACGGCTGTGGGAACTGGGTCACTTTGTCGACTATGGTCGGATCTGGTGATATTCCTTGCTCGCTGACCACATGCCCAAGAAATGGCAACTCACTTCGGAAAAAGTTACACTTGTCAGGATTTAATTTTAAGTTCGCTTCTCGGATCTTTTGGAATACTTTTTGTAGGTGTTCAAGATGTTCCTCGAATGTTTGAGAGTATATGTTGATGTCATCGATGTATACTAACGCAAATTTGTCTTTATATTCCATTAATATAGTGTCCATAGCGCGTTGGAAAGTAGCCGGGGCGTTACATAAGCCGAACGGCATTACATTGAACTCATACAATCCTTCTCGGGAAGTAAAAGCGGTCTTCGCCTTACTATCCTCGCTCATTGGTATTTGCCAATATCCGGAGGATAAATCTACGGAAGAGAACCATTTGGCGTTTCCCAAGCTTTCTAACATTTCATCAATTCGCGGTAACGGATAGGCGTTTTTTCGAGTAATTGCGTTTATTTTTCGGTAGTCAACACAAAACCTTTTCTTTCCTGTCTTTTTGGTGACTACTACGATGGGGGAAGCCCATGGGCTTTGAGAAGGCCTGATAATTCCAGCGTCTAACATTCGGTGAATTTCTTCTCTGATAAATTCCTGATCTGGAAGAGTGGTCCGATACATTCGTTGTCGAATCGGTACTTCGTCTGTGGTGTTAATTTGATGTTCACATGTCGTGGTTTGTCCGAGCTGATGTATATCTTTAATAAATATATCTTTATAGGCTTCCTTTAAATTATCGTACTGGTGTTGTTGGTTGATATTTAAAGAACGTTGTTTTACCGTTGGACTTTCTTTCTCCGTGAAGTACGCTTCATGGATGATGTTATTTGTCGATCCGAAACCTTGGGTTCCTCTTGTGCTTTCTTTCAATTGTTCACGGTAACTTACTAACCGTGTTCCTTCTATGTTTGCTATCTGTAGGAAAACTGCCTGTGCTATCCGATCTCTTGGTTGAATCGTATACGGCTTCTTTGATGTATTCGTCAGTATAATTCCAATGTTGCCTGAATATCCGGCGTCAATCGTTCCTCCTTTCACTTCGATTCCGATCTTGGCTAAAGAGGATCGTGACATTAGTTGGCATACCGTTCCTTTTGGGATCTCCATTGCAATATGAGCATCAATTACGATCGTTTGCCTCGGTAGGATAGTTGTTGGTCCGGCTCCAGGATAGTATAAGTCAAATCCGGCGTCAGTTGAGTGTGCGCGCGTTGGTTCTATTCCTTTATTATTATCATTATACACCTTGACAAAGTAATACATGGATTCGGCAGGTTCGACCATCCCTTTGTCTTTTGGAAGATTTTTATAATAGTCCTCCAATATCTCCTCATGACATTCGTAATTGTTAATGGTTTCTTCGTCGAACTTTATTTGTTGGACCTGTTTTTCAGTTTCGGCAAGAAAGTTGAAAATTTCCTCGAAAGTCCGACTTATCTCGGTAAGCTTTATGGTTGGTACTTCGACGAATCCTGGTATGGTTTGGGCGATGCATTGAGCTTGCACAAACTGTTGTTGTTGATGACAATGTCGCGCATGGGCTACCATTTCCTCAGCCTGTTTTAAAGTATCCTCAAGTAAGTCGTTTTCAGTTTCGATTTCTTTTCTTTTGCCTTTGTCTAATGGCATTAACATATCTGCATCAGGGATCTGTTTTGATTGTTCGCAATCATCACAGCATTCAGCATCACACGGTATTAAGCATTCGGCGCATAATCGAACGTTGATATATTCGAGCTGGACCAGTTGTCGTCGTCGAGCAGGGGATATTTGTTGGTAAATATCGTGGAAGATGTCTGTTGCCGATGCTTCTTCATTGCCATGATAGATAATGGACTCATCTATTTCTTCTAGGTCGTCGACGTACATGTATCGAGACAGGATTGCCTTGCCAATTTCATTACATTCGGCGTACACATCTCGGAGCATTCCTCGATCTCTTAACTTCCGGATCGTTCCTTGATTGCGTTGCCATCCACCTCGATTAAACCAATAGATGCATTGATGTTCGTAGGTGCAAAAATATCGTTTATCATAACTTCCCGTTATGTACATGTGCTTGGCTTCGTCTCGATAATTACAAACGGCGCAAGCTGGTAGGTTCAATTTCTTTTCCCTATGACATTTATAACATGATCGTGCTTTCTCACCTCGTTGTGTGATGTAATTCATCCCATGGTATTGATCTAGGTAAGATTGACATTCGTCACATTGCTCGATTTGTTCTTCTGGTTGGATATGTTGTTTGGCTTCTATAAGAGTAGTAAAGATCTCTTGTGTTCGTTGGGCTACAAAAATTTCCCGTTCTACTTCTTCGGCCCAATCCCTTCGTGTCTTTAGCTCGGCTCGATATGGTATATGTTGCTGGATGGCGATCCATTCGGCTAGGTCGTCGTAGCACTGACGACATCGATGATTGTTGTTATAAAGAAATTTAGCACACCAACATTTCTTGTTAGGTCCTTTCCAATCAAGGGACCATCGTTGTTCTGGTAGACATTCTAATCGAAATTTTTCTCTGAGTCGTTGACAATCGTCCCATGTAAACTTCTTCCAGCGGACCTTCATTCCTTCCTGGAAAGCTTGGACGTCGTGGATTGGTCGAATACTTCGGATGATATTCAAAGGTACGCTTTCGAAGTCGACGTACTTTAGTTCTCTTCTGACGGTTTTAACTGGCGTCCATGTCTCTTCAGGAATAATCTTGGTGCTATCTTCGTTTTTGAACTGGACCGTCTTTCGCCTGGGTTGGACGGTCGTCCAATCGTCTTGTGTAAACATCAGGTAAGATTTTCTTTCCAAGTTTTGCTCCTCGTATTCTGATTCTTCATCTTCTGACTCATCTTCTCCGGAATCTTCACTAGCTTCGGTTTCTTCATCATCGCTGGTGGGGTTTGCTCGCTGTCCGTAGACATACTTAATCGACACTCTTCCTTGTTGTCCGTTCCACGTGAATGTCATCAGGCCGTTCTTAATGTCAATGTTCGCATTGACCTTCTTTAGGAAATCCATACCTACTATGACGGCGTATGTCCTTGCCTCGGTTACGTCGACTACCGTTGGAATTTCGATTCCGTCAATGATGATTGGTAGGTCATCAATGGCTCCAAGTGGTTGCTTCGATTTTCCATTTACATCGGTCATTGCCACATCCGATTTTCTTTGGATTTTAATGCCTTGGCTTTGTAGGAAGTGTTGGGTCGCCACGCAGCCAGATGCACCGGTATCAACTATTAGGTCAATCATCGTTTTTCCTATTCTTGCTTCGCACCATGCTGATGTGGTTTGAACTTTCTGCAGTGCATATCCGGTAGGTCGTTTATTTATCTTTTTGATATTCGTCCGTCGCATCGTTTTGGACATCCTAATTCGTTGGGCAGGCGATGTTTCAATTAATTGTCCTATAGTAATGTTCGCTTTTAATAGGGCTAGGTCTTCGGCTATGTCGTATGGCGTTACTTTGGAGGCCAACTCTGGCAAAATCGCCTTTCCCTTTTTCTTTCTTGGTTTCTTCTTTTCGTCGATTACTTCCTGAGTCTTTGACGGTTCGGCTTCTCCCATGTCGCTATCTTCAACTAATGGTTCGTTTTCTTGGTTCTGTTCTTTCTCAAGATCCTCATCTTGCGAAGTGGATTGCTTTGCATATGGGTTGTGCCGATCAACCTTTCTTGACTTTCTTTCACCGGGTAGATACTTGTGAGTTGCGAGTAGAGAATGAACATTGTTAATATTATCCTTGACCGTTTGCGTTTGTAAAGCGTTCGTTAACTCCTGAATCTGCATTAACAATGCGGCATTGGTGTCATTGTTGACTCGACCATTGTTCGTCGATCGGTTTTCCATATTAGGTTGAGCGTTATTTTGCAGATGAGAGTTTCCATTATTACGATCTCGCCAATTCTTTCCGTTGTTATTTCTATAGTTGTTGTTAGAACGAGCTGTTGGACATTGTGTACTAATGTGTCCTTCCTCTCCACAACTATAACAGGTTAACGTCCGTCGGTTATTTGACCAGTTACCACGGTAATCGTTGTTTCTTGGCGGGTATTGAGGTTTGGAGGGCATTTCCAGCTGGTCTAGTCTTCGAGTTAGGTTATTAATCAGGGCAGCTAGGTCCGGACTTGTTGTGTGGCTGGCGCTAGTAGACTGATGGTAAGTTCTTATAGTTGGTTCTGCCTCAGCTTCCTCAGCCTTCTTGGCGACTTCCATCGTGTTTAACAGCGTTCCGTCACCGTTTACTTTTACCCATTTACGTAGTTCCGGTTTCAATCCACGTCGGTAGATACGAACGCGTAGATCATCATGAATATGGTTCTCCGGGTCTGCTTTACGAAGCAGTTCGTAGAATCTGTCAGTGTATTCATCCACCGTTCCAACTTGTGCCAATTCTTCCAAGTCGTCTCGCCAACGATCGACCTTTTGTTCGGTTCGGAACTTAAGCGTGAACCGATGTTTAAAGTCGTGTTCATCGTGAGCGTTGTTTTGCCATTCGTTTAGCAGCAACGCGTTGTTCATTGCCCGTTCGTCAAACCATAATGCGGCCGGTCCTTCAAGATATCCTCGTACGATTTGTACTTTCCGTTCATTGGTGAGACCGTTTGCTGTTGCGGCTACTTCGAAGTCCCGTAACCAGGCTACCGGGTCTTGATCTCCTCCTTTAAATTTTCGGATGGTAATGATCATTTTCTCTTGCACCCTTCCATTCTGCGCGGCTATTGCTTGGGTTAAGTTGTTTACGGCGTTCAAAACGTCAGCTACGTTCGCCATTTCAGGTTCTGGTGTTGGGGTTCTGATTTGGTCTGGATCGCTGACTTGTTCTTCGTCGGCGTCTTCTAAATTTTCCTCGTAAATTACTTCTTCGTCGGTTGAAGAACTCTCAGGACTGGAAAAGTTAATTAGATCTTCGTCTTCGATGATTTCTTCCTCTTCTTCGTTGTCGTTACTATCTTCCGTATGCGGAGTTGACGAGCCGGATCTGATCGTCGACAACAAGGTATTCACCAAATAAAATGGTGTTGAGCAAGCGAACTATTCTTTGGCGAATGATGGTCGGGTGAACTTCGCCGTAATCGTAATTGATTAATTCTTGAAAAGTCTGTTGAGTAATGCGGTTATATGATTTCGCCTCAGCAGTTTCGATCCAAAGCCAGAATCGGCGAAAAGGGAGAGTGAATTCTTGCGAAGGGGGGTAACACAGGGAGCAAAAAGGTTGTAATTCGGGGGAGATATTTCCTTTGAGTTGATGTTGTTCTAAATGGTCGTTGATTAGTTCTCCTGTGAATGTATATACTTCGTTCATTCACCAGGACAAGTATCTACAAAGAGAAGGAAAGATGATAGATTTGATAATAAAAGAGGATTATGGATGATAAACTCCACAGAGGGGGCACCAAAATGTTACGCGCTCTTTATTAGATGGTCTATCTAACAATTAGTGACGCAACAGGGGTTAAGGGCATAGACTGAATAATT